CATAATTAAGGGGTCCGTCCATCAAGATCTAACTATTGTAAAAATTTATGCTCCCAACACAGAGAACCCAAATGTATAAATCAATTAGTCACAAAAATAAAGAAACTCGTTGACAATAATACCATAATAGTAGGGGAATTCAACACCCCACTTACAGCAACGGACAGATAAATAGAAAATCAACAGGTAAACAACGGCTTTGAATGACACACTGGACCAGATGGACATAACAGATATATTCAGAATATTTCATCCTAAAACATCAGAATACATATTCTTCTCGAGTGCACGTGGAACATTCTCCAGAATAGATCACATACTGGGACAAAAATCAGCCCTCAACTAGTACAAAAAGATCAAGATCATACTGTTCATATATTCACACCACAACGCTATGAAACTCGAAATCAACCACAAGAAAAAAATTGGAAAAACAACAGATACTTGGAGACTAAAGAACATCCTATTAAAAAGTGAATGTGTTCACCAAGAAATTAAAGAGGAAATTAAAAAGTACATGGAAGCCAATGGAAATGATAGCACCACAGACTAAAACCTCTGGGATGCAACAAAGGTTGTCATAAGAGGGAAGTATATAATATGCAGGCCTTCCTAAAGAAGGAAGAAATGTCTCAGCTATAAATAAGGGAATATTATTAGCAATTATATGCCAATAAATTGGGAAATCTGGAAGAAATGGACAAATTCCTAGAAACATGTACACTACCAAAACTGAAAGAGGAAGAAATAGAAAATTTGAACAAGACCTATAACCCGGAAAGAAATGGAATTAGTAATCAAAAATCTCCCAAAAAACAAGAGTCCGGGGCCAGATGGCTTTCCAGGGGAATTCTACAAAGCATTTAAAGAAGAGTTAACACCTATTCTCCTGAAGCTATTCAAAAAAAATAGAAATGGAAGGAAAACTTCCAATCTCATTCTATGAGGCCAGCATTACCTTGATTCCAAAACCAGACAAAGACCCTACTAAAAAGGAGTACTATAGACCAATTTCCCTGATGAACATGGACACAAAAATTCTTAACAAGATCCTAGCCAACTGGATCCAACAATACGTTACAAGAATTATTCACCATGATCAAGTGGGATTTATACGTGGGATGCAGGGCTGGTTCAATATCCACAAGTCATTCACTGTGATACATCACATTCATAAATGAAAGAACAAGACTCACATGGTCCTCTTAATAGGTGTAGAGAAAGCATTTGACAAAATACAGCATCCTTTCTTCATAAACACTCTCAAAATTGGGATAGAAGGATCATACCTCAAGATCATAAAAACCATGTATTAAAGACCCACTGCTAATATCGTCCTCAATGGGGAAAAACTGAAAGCTTTCCCCCTAAGGTCAGGAATATGACAGGGATATCCACTCTTGTGACTGTTATTCAACATAATATTGGAAGTGCTAGCCTCAGCAATCAGACAACACAAAAGAATAAAAGGGATCCACATCAGCAAGAAGGAAGTCAAACTTTCACTCTTCACAAACAACATGATACTCTATATGGAAAACCCAGAAGATTCCACCAAAAAACCGCTAGAACTGATCCGTGAATTCAGCAGAGTCACAGGGTATAAAATCAATGCACAGAAATCGGTTGCATTTCTATGCACCAATAATGAGGCAACAGAAAGAGAAATCAAGGAATCAGCCCCATTTACAATTGCACCAAAACCATAAAATACCTAGGAGGTATAACCAAAGAGGTGAAAAATCTATATGCTGAAAAGTGTAGAAAGCTTATGAAAAAACTGAAGAGGACACAAAAAAATTGGCAAAATTTTCCATGCTCGTGGATTAGAAGAACAAATATTATTAAAATGTTGATATTATCCAAAGCAATATACATATTTAATACAATACCTATCAAAATAACACCAGCATTCTTTACAGAGCTAGGACAAACAACCCTAAAATTTGTATGGAACCAGAAAAGACCCTGAATAGCCAAGGCAATCCAGAAAAAGAAAACCAATGCTGGAGGCATCATAATCCTGGACAGTATGGTAATGGCACAAAAACTGACACTTAGATCAATGGAACAGAATAGAGAAAACAGAAATGGACCCAGAAACATATGGTTAACTAATCTTTGACAAAACACAAAAGAATATCCAATGGAATAAAGACAGTGTCTTTAGCAAATGGTGTTTGGAAACCTGGACAACGATATGCAGTAGAATGAACCTGGTCCACTTCCTTACATCATATGCAAAAATAAATTCAAAATGGATGAAGGACCTAAATGTAAGATAGGAAGCCATCGAAATCCTAGAGGAGAAAGTAGACAAAAACCTCTATGATCATGGCTGCAGCTACTTCTTACTCAACATGTCTCCAGAGGCAAAGGAAACAAAAGCAAAAATGAACTATTGGGACCTCATCAAGATAAAAAGCTACTGCTCAGCCAAGGAAATAATCAGCAAAACTAAAAGACAACCATTGGAATGGGAGAGGACATTTGCAAATGACATATCAGATAAAGGGTTAGTATCCAAAATCTATAAAGAACTTAATCAAACTCAACACCCAAAAAACCAAATAATCCAGTGAAGAAATGGGCAGATGACATGAATAGACAGTTTTCCAAAAAAGACATCTAGATTGCCAACAGACACATGAAAACATGCTCAACATCATTCATCTTCAAGGAAATACAAATCAAAACCACAATGAGATACCATCTCACACCAGTCAGAATGGCTAAAATTAATAATTCTGGCAATGACACATATTGGTTAGGATATGGAGAAAGAGAAACACTTTTGCACTCCTGGTGGAAATGCAAACTTATGCAACCACTCTGGAAAACAATATGAAGGGTCCTCAAATAATAAAAAATAGAACTACCGTACAATTCAGCAATTGCACTACTAGGTATTTATCCAAATATACAAGTGTGCTGTTTCGAAGGGGCATATGCGCCCCAGTGTTTACAGCAGCACTATTGACAATAGCTGAAGTATGGAAAGAGCCCAAATGTTCAACAACAGATGAATGGATAAAAAAAATGTGACATATGTGTATATATACACAGACACACACACACACATGCGTGCGCACGTGCACATACATACACACACAATGGTGTATTACTCGGGAATCAAAAAGAATGAAATCTTGCCATTGCCAACAACAAGGATGTAATTAGAGTGCATTATGGTAAGCACAATTAGAGAAAGGCAAATATCATGACTTTACTCATATGTAGAATTTAAGATACAAAACAGATGAACATAAGGGAAGGAAAACAAATAATATGAAAACAGGAAGGGGACAAAACATAACAGATTCTTAGATATGGGAACAAACTGAGGGTTGCTGAGGATTTTGGGTGGGGGGATGTGCTAAATGGGCAAGGGACATTAAGGAAGACACTTGTTGGGAGGAGCACTGGGTATTATATGTCAGGGATGAGTCACTGGATTCTACTCCTGAAATCATTGCACTATATGCTGACTCACTTGGATGTAAAGTAAAAAACTGAAAAAAAAAATATCTTAGTCAACTGGTTCTAGAGTAACATTTTCTTTCAACTATACTTTCTAGCTAAGCACACACTTTTCTAGGCATTGTGTTTAGTTAGTGTGAGAACTCTGTAATACACTGAGAATATATTTTAAATATAAGTTCTAGAAACACACACACTATGTATATTCGTGTGGGATGAATTTGCAATTGTTTGTATAGAAAAATTACAGTGTCTTTCCTAAAGAAAAATTAAAGATAGGAGATTGTTTCTAAGCCCCCTGAGGAAAGTGGACTAATTTAAGACTGAATTTTGACAGTGAATGAGTGGAATTATAGCCACAGTGCCCCTGCATACTGAAGGAGAGATTCATTTGACACATTTGCAAAACTAGGTGTGAATGTCTATGTGTGAGCAAGCTTTTTTCTATTGCAAATGAGCAGGTAGTGCTTATATGTCTTCTCACTATGTATTCTGACACTTTTGAAGAGTATATGAAAGTATTACAATTTTTAGTATTTGAGTGATGTTATACATTGTTACATGTAGATATTATCTGGAAAAAAATAACATTTTGAAAATTACTATACCAAATATGATTTCATTGGGATACTGTTTATCATTTCCATAATTCATTTACTTATGAGAAGAACTATTTGGAGACGATGCATTAATGACCTTAAAGTAACAAAATCTCAAGAGACCTATTTTAAATTGGGCAGTAGGGTTTTTTTTCTTTAATTTTTTATTGTTGTTGTTTGTTTGCTCTTTTACCCTTGGAATAATTTCATTGTTTTACATGGTCTTTCCTGGATTATCAAGAGTTTGTCCAGCTTGCCTGATTTGAGTGTATGATTTTGCAGATTTACCTGGAAGATCTAGGTCTTGAACTCCTGAATATAAGATAGCAAGAGCAGTAATTATTCAGAAACATTCATGAATACTTCTTTAAGACAGTTCTATATCTGTCATCTATCATTGATACATATACACAAAATATTTATGTTTATAAATTTAATTGCCTGTTATTAGATTGATTTCAATAACTTTTCTACCAACAGTTTTTCGTTTATTAGCTCTTCTTCAGAATCCTTTTCTTTCAAAACATTTCATGTTGAAGTCTATATAGATTGCAGCATTTGTTGAATAAACTCCATTATTAAGTACACTGTTCTGATCTTTGCATAATAATTGGCATAACCACCACCAAAAATAGATTTCTCCCCTTATGAAGCTAATTTGCAAAGAAAATGTTGAGTTTTCATTGTAGTCTGTTAGTTTTTATCTCCAGGCACATTGCGGTATTATTTTTAAATGCATGTGGTGTTTTTGTTGTTTGTTTGTTTTTGTTTTTGTTTTATTTAAAGACATTTTCCTTCAAAATAAGACAATCTGCTAGATTTTGATAATAATATGATTTAATACACTATAATGCCATGATTCATCATTCATTCATTTTGGTTACTGTTGACTTTTTCTAACGACCTTTTCTATGTTTTCAGGGTGAAACCAAGATCTTAAAACTAAAGAATCTTCGACCTCAGGACTATGCTAATTATAGCTGCATTGCTTCAGTGAGGAATGTATGTAATATTCCTGATAAGATGGTGTCATTTAGACTTTCCAACAAAACAGGTATGGAGCTATCTCTCAGTGTCTTATGTCTTTTATCCATCGTTAATGTTTAAAAAGGCTCTAACTTTCTTGTATACCAAATTATTTCTTTAGTATAAGTAGGTACAAGGCATCTTTATTTTTCCCCCAGAAAAGTGTGATATCTGTGATATCTGTGATATCTGGAAAGCTTTTAGTAAATGCACACTTTACAATGCAATATGTTCCCATGTTAGGTTTGTTTATATTGCATACAAAATTGTGCTTCCTTAATATATTGTATTCATAAATGTCACAAGCATGCCCATGTCCTGTTCAAAACATTCTGAGAAATATTAGATTCTTCATATAAAAATTTATGGTCTAAATTGCTAAAAGTGTTTTGTAATTCCAAAGCTAGGTAACAGAATCCCTCTCTTACTCTGTTTCAAGTCAAGATAGTTAATTGGTAATTTCAGGTAGGTGTTTTCTGGAAAGCATTTTTGTAGAAAATGTCAAAACATTAGCAAGATTGCAACTTAAGTCAGCCTGTGTTTAGTACTATAGACCTCAGAATAACTGCAAACATATTAAAGTGGAATTGCTAAATGAAAGAGCAAAGAGAGAGCATGGGAATGGACTGTCTTTTCTATGATTGTGTCCAGTCACCCCAATCAAATAGAATTTGAACTGGTGTTGAGAAACTTGCAGTGGCAATTAATATAAATTATTACTTTTAAATAATGCTATTAAAATATGGAGTTTTAAAAGGACTTTTCTCATTAACAGAAACCTGGAAAGGTGTGTGTTGGGTGTGCATGGGTATAGGTTTGATTCTGCCACTTATTAGCACTTGGATTTTGTTGAGCAAATCACTTCACACTTCTTTGCCTCCGTTTCCTCATAAATTCTTAACGTTGTAGAGAAGAATTCACGAGTTAATATACATAAAGCACTTGGAACACTTTGTCAGTTTTTTCAACAAAGAACTAGTCAGCATCCCCATCCAGCTCATTTGGTAAGAAGATTAAACCTGGGACTTTATTGGAAGGTGGAAAAAACATGTGCTCAAACATTGACCCATCAACATATGTTCCATTGAGTTGTTACAATTTTGAAAGGTCATTTTAAAAATGTATTCATTCATTTATTTGTCAGAAGTGTATTGGGTTCCTATTATGGGTCAGCAATGATAGGCACAGGAATATTGGATAAGATGTAAATTGCCTTAAACTGGAGAAATGATTTCTTAAGCAGCAGGTAAAAGTCATTTGTGGAAGGTAGAAGAAGAAAGTGGGAGATGAAAATAAACTTTATCAAGAAGGATGAGAAAGACTTGAGGGAAACTACATTGAATAAAAAAATAGAAATATAAAATTTTAGGAGACCTAAGACTTATAGAAGTTAATAATCTCATTTCACTTTAAAAAGAAGAAATATGATATTGAGAAATAATTATCAGAGATTAACATGTAAGAACTGGGTGTGATGATGCTATTGTTCTTGGCATGAAATACTTTGTGAATTATTATAACTGATTTTGTTTTTCTTAGTTTCTTTAATTTATTTTTAAAATACACATGATCCAGAGAGAAAAATTAGAAATAAAATGTAAGTAGGTTCTATGGGATGGGGAAACATTGCGACATAATAAGGACAAAGTAGTAGATATTATTACATATGTCACAGCTTTGCCCTTGACAATGTTTTATTACTTTTAAAAGTATTTCTTGTTTATTGTCTCAGTTTATCTTTATAACTACTGGGATGTAAGCAGGTAGATGTTTTGTTTTCTTTTTATCACGTCTTTATCATTTGACACATAACATACTATCCCATAGTGATTAAAGTATCCTCATTGGGTTGTTTTGAGAATGAACTAAATCAACATAAACAAAATTTCTTTGAAGTCTAAGAGGTACAACAAAATTATAGTTAACATTTTTTTTTCTGCTTCAGGAATGTATACTTTATTATTTCTCAATGTTCTATGGCTACTAACTACAGGGGACAAAATCTATCCCAATGTTTGAGGAGTTGTCTTAAATAGGAGACTGACTAGCTATTCAAAATTTTTTTGTAGAGCTAGAGAAAATGAACTTAAATTTCAACCGGAGTTTTATTAGGAAAAAAAAAAAAAAGCACGTATTATCCTAAAGCTGAATGGAGAAGATTACCATGAGAGGTGATAGACTTTCCCTGCCTGAGGTCTTAGAAAGCAGTTGGGTGACTTTATTTCTGAGGTGATTTTTAACATTTGCAGCTGAGAAAACAAAGATTTGACTCCCTGTCTTACAGAGAGCACAGGAACTCTGTAATATAGATGTTTTGTTTAACTGTTCAGTTTTCTGTTCCATTCTTTATTTTTCAGACTGCAGTGTTGCATATGTAGACTGAGCTAACAAAATAACCTATTTTTCTCTTTTATAAATTATCTCACAAAAATCTTAAATTGATGTTCACTGAAAAATGAGCATCAGAGTTATGGTAAATAATTGGGTTTAAAAATACAAGTTAGTGCCTTGTTTGACTCTTCACTAACTATAATTGGGCACGGCCTGCAGCCTGGTGCTTTACATATTCAATCCAGGTTTCTTCTGCATTTTCACCATCTGGTTGTACTCTTAAGTTGAAAGAGTTGGTGCATTTCAAATAGGTGGAATCTTAAGGTGGCTCTCAAATACACCAGGAATAAATTAAGCTTTCAGCATCTTCATGCAAACAGGTCAATAAACTGACAAGTGCATACAGGCTATTTCATTGCTAACACTGGAAGATCAGGAGTCACCATGGCCGTAATCGATGTGAGAGACAGGTGCTCTTTATCGTTTCACTCTTGTGAATCTTTAAATGACATAAAGTTCCCATATGTTTAACTCTTAGTTTGCAAAATGTCAAGGAAAATATTTAAAGTATTGAGGGGGAGAATATCCTATTACAAATATTGTAATATCTGTGATTGCTCTTGTTTGTTAATTAATTTGTTGACGAAAGGATAACTTTGGAAATAATTTTTGTAATGGAGATCAAATAATTGACTATTAAATGTATTTTTGATATAATTTTATTCTAACATCTCAGGGAAACTTTTTAATTGTAATCAGGGTATTGATATGCTTTGCACAATGCCCAAATGACATAGCCTATGAAGATGGAGACAGTCCTCTGTGAATAACGTTTTCAAAAAGTTTTTGCAGCAGAACAATTGCATCATGGAGCATAGTTCTCTGGGCCCTTCCTATACCTGCTGAATTACACTTCCTGCAATGTACACACTTTAACCAAGTATAAATGATTGCTTTGGAAAACAAAAACTGTCTGTATCATTAGAGTGTTTTCCATGAACCAGTCTATTTTGTGAATAGGAACTTTTGTTAGTAAGAGGCTGTTTTTTTATAGAACTGCTTAGAAAAGCCATGTTTAGGTGTCATTTTAAAAGGCAGCATCATTTGTAGATATACCAACAACATATTTCCTTAAATTTTCTGCTATGAATTGGCATATAGTAGAGCTTATAATTGAATATCATTGGACCATGGAGTGTCCAATCATTTGTTGGCCCCTGTTGGTTACTTGGCATGCTATGGAAAATCTCCTATCATAGAAATATCATTATTTATCATACCTGATCTAGCTGTCTTAGGACTTATCATGACAGTTTGTAGAATTTTATAAAATATGAAGATTTTAGGTGTATTAATTTCTTGTCATAATGTTGTAGCAGAGACCAAAGTTGTTTCCTACTCCTGTTTGGAAGACAAAGATTAGCTCTTGATTGGTAAATTCCCAATGTAGCTGTATTTTTCTTAGTTCATTAAAACAAACCTGTTAAAATTTGTAAATTTAGAATATTAATAAATATAGGTATATATTTTAAATTATCATAATTATGTTAACTTTGAATATTAAATACTAAAATTTCTCAGATAATTTATACTTCTAACATGAGGGCACATAGGAATTATGATAAAGCAAATTTAATTTATTTTAATTTATTTCTAGCACTTATATATTGATGTGTCATGATTTGAAAGGCAAGTAAGAATTAAGTAGGTTACTTATATTAGGATGAAAAACATATTTTGTACCTGCTTGAGAGGTTATGATGTAGTCTGTAAAGAAATGGGACAGGTGGGGCTAATTTTACTTAATTATATAGTCTTTTGATTTAGTCTGCTCACATTTAGCATTTATAAAAATTACCTAATTAAGATGTCTTCCTGAAATGTGCATCACATTTAAGAACCAATTCATCATAAAAGTTATTGCTGGCTAAATAAATAGGGCAAACCTATACCCCTTTCTCCTCTTCCTCTCTCTCTCCCTTCTATCTCTTTTTCATCTTCTTTCTCTTCTTCCCCCCTCCCCCCCTTTAATCTGTGTTAATAAGAGAGGTTAGGAGAAATCTCTGTTTCTTATGCTAGGTAACTGTTGCCTATTCTGTTAGATAACCCACCTGGTAGCTATAATATAAATTCCCAGCAATTACAATAAACTTCAATGTAAGATTTTTTGTACATTGTGATTTATGGTAGTTTTATGTTTATGGGAATTTAATAGGTGTTATGAGAAATAAAATAATATTTCAGTTATAGGAGTAGTATAGGAATAGCTGTAGATATGAAATAAAAATACATAAACCCTTCCTCTTGTAAAATGGTATTCCCTTTTTCATAGATAGCCCATTTAAATGCAAAGAAAGGGGCAGTAGACATTTTGCTGTACATGTGGGTGCTGACCTCAGGCATTTTTCTTAGCTATATGGATATTTGAGTGTCTTGCCTTTTGGTGGTCTCTCCTGCATCTATACAATCAGTAGTATCATTTATTAGGACTTAAATATGGTGTTTCACGGGCACCTGGGTGGCTCAGTCAGTGAAGCGTCCATCTTCAGCTCAGGTCATGATCTCACAGTTGGTGGGTTTGAGCCCCACGTTGGGCTCTGTGCTGACAGCTCTGTGCCTGGAGCCTACTTCAGATTCTTTGTCTCCCCATCTCTGCTCCTCCCCTGCGCACAATCTGATTTTCACTCAAAAATAAAT